TCGGTCGGTTAACACGCTCTCGATCGCACGAATACAGGCGTCCCTCTTTCTCGCGAAGCGCTTCCCGCAGTGGCGTGTGTCACATTTCACGTTCCTTCTATGGCTAAAACGTAGACGGCCACGAAATTGCGATACGCCGTATTTTAATTCTCGGTCGCATTCTCTTGTCGGCTAAAATCCGCGGTCTGCTTTGCCGCTATGTGAGTCCTTTTAAAAAAAGAGAAATTACTTGTTCCCCGAAACGGGAGCGTTCTTTTAACAATAGAATTTACAATCGGCTGTATGCACTCGTACATCCTGTTTTTAGACGTATAGAAGGATTATAGAAATTAACATCACACATGGAAAGAATGATTTTGCTGAAATATCTAAATATTTAACTAGATACAGATCCAAAAATAATTTTATTGAACTGTTAAAATAATTATGTAGGAAACTTAAGCATGATGGGCAACATTTCAAGAATTTTTCTAACAGCTTGAACAGCCTACATAATTATTTTGATATTATTTGAAGTCTAACACAATTATTTTCTGATCTGTCTAGCTAAATTTTTTAATAAAACTATTCTTTTTGTGCAGTATCTGAGACATCGAAGTAATAAATTCAAAGCATTTTTATTTATTTTGATTAAAAAGCTAGAATTAAAAAATTTATGCAAAAAAAAATTATTATGTGTCACTCAAATGATTCATTTTTCTGCAAACATGTTTTTAGATTTGCAAATTAGGATAAATGTTTTTCCTGTATACGTCTAATACGCTGCGAATACATTTAATTACGCGAATTTATTTCAATATTTATTATTTGTTGTCAAATGTCGGATGTAACTGATTCAATAATAGTACTAAAGATCCAGTATTGTTTAGGATTGTCAATGTGTTCAAAAAAATTTTGAAATTCTTGACCAACATCGCGCAATGTGGAATCGCGGATGTAGAACGCATGCATCGTTACGGGAAACTTGAATCATCGGTCGCGTGTGAATCACGAGATTACGTCTCTTTGAGATCGCGCGGAATTATCTTCGTCTCGCTTATAGGAAAAAAAAATTATTCTTCCTGGAAGGGGAAAACGAGTACTAGTCTTTGCGATGACTGGCGGAACTGATCATTAATCAGACAAAACTCGTCGACAAAGATACCGATGATTAATCGGTTAATTGGATTGATTACATATCTGGCAATGTGTCGATTGTGAGCGTTTTTGCATAGACTTGCATTGATTCAAAAATAGCGATAAATGAATCGTTACGATAAATGAATTGCGACGTTACCAATGCACGGCGTGACAGCGATTTTAATTATGTCAAGGAAGACTCGAGAATTTCTCTATCTCATGATCATGATATTTGATCATTTCAATGTGACATGATATTTTATTTACATTTGATATTGTTTGATATAATATTTAGTATGATATATTACATATATGATCGTTGAACGTATTTATTAAATCTTCATTGTTTTACGTGTTATATACATATACATATCTAAATTCAAGGTGCTGGGGAGTCTGGCAAATCTACGATAGTAAAGCAAATGAAAATAATTCACGAGACCGGCTACAGTAAAGAAGAATGCGAGCAATACACTCCTGTGGTATACAGTAACACGATACAAAGTTTAATGACGATAATCAGGGCCATGGGGGATCTTAGAATCGACTTTGCTGAGCCTAGTAAAGCGGTAAGTCTGCATATCTTTCTCCTAGATTGTTATGAAATATTCGTTTTTAAGAAAAATTGAATGTGAAATTCAATTCAAATTTTTTTTTTTATCGAGATAGGCATTATCTTCGCTACACTTTTTTTGTTTAGAAAATATAGCTCTCTTTTCAATTTTATTTTAAAAAAATTTCTCAAAAAAAATAGTTTTATTTATGGAATTTATAGTAGACGACAAATCTTTTACATCAGTCTATGACATTACGTGCATTATTAACTGCACTTCGCTAACTTTCTCGTGCCCCACTGGCACATTAGATAATCGGCCTTGTTTTGCGTTGTAGGATATGGCGCGACAATTTTTCACCCTAGCATCGGCGGCGGAGGAGGGCGAGCTGACCGGGGAACTAGTGCTATTAATGAAACGATTATGGCAGGACCCGGGATTGCAGCTCTGTTTCTCGCGTAGCAGGGAATACCAGCTCAATGATTCGGCAGCGTACTACCTTAACGCACTTGACCGCATAACGCAACATAATTATGTTCCGACACAGCAGGATGTTCTGCGAACGCGCGTCAAAACTACCGGAATCGTGGAGACACATTTTTCTTTCAAGGGATTACATTTTAAGTACGTTGCCTACTATTGTCCAAAGATATTTAATTTACATTAAATAAATTATGAATCATTAATCATTACAAATTATTTCTAAATGTGCGTTATAAGAAATTTTTAACGAAAAATTTATTTTAATATGTACATAAAACTATATAAATAAGCATATATATATATAATGAAATGGTTTTATTATACAAATATATTTTATTATATCTAAAAAATTCAAGATATATTATAATATATTATTTCCTCTTTGCAGAATGTTTGATGTTGGCGGTCAACGGTCTGAAAGAAAGAAATGGATACATTGCTTCGAAGGCGTCACTGCGATCATCTTCTGCGTTGCTCTAAGCGGCTATGACCTGGTATTAGCAGAGGACGAGGAGATGAATCGCATGATAGAGTCGATGAAGCTGTTCGACTCGATTTGTAATAGCAAATGGTTTGTCGAAACGTCTATCATATTGTTCCTGAATAAAAAAGATCTGTTCGAAGAAAAGATCACCAGGAGCCCGCTCACTATCTGTTTTCCGGAATATAAAGGCGCCAACACCTACGAGGAGTGTGCCTCTTATATCCAGATGAAATTCGAAAATCTAAACAAGAGGAAGGATCAGAAACAAATCTACACGCACTTTACGTGCGCAACAGACACGTCCAATATACAGTTTGTGTTCGACGCCGTGACTGATGTAATAATCAAGAACAACTTGAATAATTGCGGATTGCTGAGTTAAACATTCCAATCAACTCGATCAGTAAAATATCAAAAAAGAAGAGATATATCTTAATACGTTGACGACTCATTAATCTTCGTGAATGCATTAGAGAATGACGAAGAGACTGATCGAAAATTTTAAGAGAAACGTATCCGTAAATACGAATATATATTATGCGAGGATTTTATTTACATACACATACACAAACATACATTAGGCTCTTGAAATATTTTATCGTGGTATTATGCAACTCTATTCGATTCTATAGTTTTTAATGAAATATTCTTTGTAAAAAATTCTGCGTAAATTCATCCGGATTTCTAGTATAAATGTGTTACTCGATTCTTAATTTATTAATTTTACATTCGGCGATTAGACTACGAAATATTCTCAAATTACGAACAAAGTATTCAATATATTTGGGAGTTAAATTGATATTTCAGTCTGATGACTGAACATTTCGCCAAGAATGTTTTTTATGCACTGTTTATAAAGTAATAATTATTTTTGAAAATTATTTTTGAAATTAATTAACATATATATTGAGATTTGATTAAATAGATTATATTTTTAAAAGTATTTTTAAAATTCCTTATTGTTATATATGTTTATCTCTTTTTGAATTAATAAATTTTCATTATTTTTTTGTAAAAGATGAAAACAATACTTGCTTTTCCTAGCAGTGCGCGGAAGAAAAAAAAGAAAAAAATTCGAGGCGATAATGTTAAATATATAAAACGTATCGTTTACTTATACTCCCGATTAAGATCAGAAACATTCCCTTGTTTTTGTTCTCTAAATGTAATTTAACTATACTAACTTAGATAGCTATTAATTTAGTGATATTTCCTTGTATATAATTTATTAAGCTAAAAGTGATTACGTATTAAGTAAATTTTTCTGCTCATATCTACTTGCATTATAATGACAAATAGAAATTTAACATCATGATGGGCATCGAACACACAGCTCTCTGTGCATCTTTTTTTACAGTATATATTTATCAATTTGAGAGAAAAATTTTTGTACAAGCTTCTCTTTTTATATATATATATATATACGTATTAATAAGTAATAAAATCGAGGGATGTTTTCATTCCTCGATTCGCCAAACGGACGTAACGACAACGTTAGCATTAGTACACGAGACAAGTCGAAATCAAATTTCTTTATATACACACAGTTTAGATCAATAAATGAAATTTCTTCTTTTTTTAAGAGTCGACGCTTTCTCCGTTCCCGACTGATCTCTTTATTAGACCATTCAATACATATATACATATCCAATGTTTTACATCTTGTATAGGTGAGGATCGATCTAACTGATAAAACGCATCAACTATGCACGCAAGCGTGAAGAAATGTGTGTTGCCAAGGTGCAGGACAAAACCCGTATCGTACATGTAATATAAGTGTACATCGGAAACAATTTTCTCTTATATTGGCTATACATTTTATTATACTAATTTACATATATGTATACATCCACTTTCCCGCGATTAGAGCCACCTTTACTTAACTGAACTGAAAAGTGAACTGTGATAAAAATTAAGATATTAAATAGGAATATGTACAATTTATAATGGATATTTTCCAGCAAAGGTAATACACTGTGCTGAGTCGTATACAATATTTTTTTAAATGGATGGAATTCTAATCTTAGTTTTTGACAATATCATCACAATTTACAGATTTTTATTTTTGTTGTTAGTAACGTTTACGTGTTAATATAATAATAAAACCTACAATACATCAGCTAGTATAAATGTGATATTTTATAGGGAATAATTTTTTTTTAATAAAAAAGAAAGAAAAAAAGAAATTTAAAAAATTTTAAAAATATTTATATTAAAAACAAATAGACTTATTATATGTTAAAGCGATATTGGAGTGATGGGAATTACTGATACTTATAAGAAATTTTTTCGAATTGATTGTAAAGAGAATTAAAAATCCTTTTACGAAATTGAAGTAGATTACTATAAAATAAAGAGAAATGTGAGGCAGACAATTTTTATACTAAAAATGAAAAAAGGTAGAAGTTACATTTTTTTCAGCTCTTGACTGACTAAAATTTTACAGCTTACATGGACAAAATAAAATTGCTTCACATTTCGTGATCGAACAGCACTCAATTTATAGAACTAAAATTAAAAGCTTAGAAAAAAAGATTTTTCTCTGTACTGCAATTTGATAAAACTCGTAATGATGCTATCTTCTGCGTGAAAATAGGGTATAATATGCTTACTCGCAAAAATATAGGCTGTTATTTATATATTTTTTTGATAGACATATTATTATCAATTATTTTATTACACTATTTTTATGCAGAAAACGATATCACGATAGAAATAGACAAATTTTTTAATCATTAAAAGGTAACGGAAAACCATTTTAAGATTCGTTTATCCTATGTATATTTTCACTTTAAATGATTTTTCGTTATCTAAAAGCAAATAGCAATAAAATAGTAATATACTCAGCTGCAAAAAATATTAATGTAACAACAGTGACTTACAAGATATAAGTCACTGTGGAATATATTTTTTTTGCAAATGAGTATATTATTTTGTGAATGAATGTATCATTACTCTGTTCTCACGACGAAGACAAGCCATATAAAGGATTGTTAAATCTTCAACATGGAAAAATTATGAAAAACGATTTCAAGAGGAAATACAGGATGAACTTGGGATCCCACCAATGAGTCGACCGCTTTTATGCGGAGCCATATTTCATTCTGACATATGTGATGATACAGGATAATATTACGCTCAATACGAAATATTTTAACTGTAATACAATGTCGCACTGCTCGACAATGTAAACATTTAAGTACAAAGCGTGCAAAATGTTTTAGTTATCAATATTTCAAGAATTATATATTTTTTGCAGGTGAATATATAATAATAATAAGGTCTGTTTGTGTTGCTTGTACTTTTTGCATTCGGCATCTTCGCTTTCTCTCTCTTCATGTCCGAATGTATATTTATCTCCTTTCAAGTGCAAAAATTTTGGGGGATTTCAAGCAACGCAAATAAACTTAATGTTATTAATTGTAATAATGTGATAGTACGACAGTGTTTAATCTGTTGGAAAACACCCATAAATTAACATTTTGGCTGCCATATCATACGTATTTTCTTGAAAATTATGACGCTTACGTAATGACTATTCTTCATTTAATTTGTATTTGTTATTCACTCTGTAAATATTATAATAGGAAACATGATACTGTGTTCTCTGGAGAATCAAAAATTGCGAGGCGTTAAGAAAGAAATATAGGTGATCGTTGGACCCGTTGGGACGGACGTTCTAAAAATTTTGATGGAATGCAAAATATAGGAACTTTGAAATTAGATATATAAAAAAGAGATATATAAACGAACATAATTACAGGATGAGCTTAAATTAATTAAATTAGCCGCTTTCAGCATCGCGTGCAAGAAAGAGGAAATTCAGGGCAATTATAAGAAATATCTTACTTTACATCTGTGAGAATACTGTTGTTTGAGTCTATCATTTTCCTTCTATTACACCATACTACACACGATTAATTGTAAAATTAAATTCGCTCCTCGGAGTCTTAGTTACATATTTTTTTGGTAGTTTTTACGCTACTAAGATATCGTAGAAGACTCCTAAACCTTAAAAGTAATTCTAACATTGAGAATTAACATTTTAAGTTATTAATATATAATACAAGCAGTGACAACTATAACATTATTATCGTAAGTATTTCGCTGTTTAAACTCTGATGATTATATTAACGTGTTTGTGATATATCCAATTTTACAACGATTTCAACGGGCTTTGAATATACATTTTTAAATCTGTGTCAACAATTATAAATCGATTGGATCTTCGAAACAATAATCGTTCGCGCCACTTTAAACATTCGATGCAAAAACAATGGTTTCTCGTGTTATCGCGAGAACAGATTAACACGATTATATTACCATCAACATATGGAAATACAAAATACAGTGTTCGATAAGCTCAAGAATAATCTACGAGTACAAATTTACTATAATTAATTATATTCGCGATCAGAGATCGAAATGACTTGCAATTACTCCGACTCGCGATGACCACCGATCGCTTTTAGAGTAATCACAGAACAGATTTGGGATTCTTAAATATGCTACGCGGATCTGTAACTCAGTTTGGAAGTGAAGACTCGCCGACTATTGTCGTCTCGTCGTTTAATCTCATAAATAATCACACGTACTAGATTAATGCTAAGCGTACCGGAAGTCTGGCCTAATAGGATTTATGTCCCATTTATGCGTCCTATCTACTCTTTCGTCTGTCTTTTAGTGAGGATTTCTGGCCGGAATAGGCGGCCCACCGGTGGTTCTTGCTGGAACAGGTGGTGGAGCGTTCGATGGGGGTAGACTCGGTGGTGGGTGCTGCGGAGGCGGCGGAGCTTGTCTATGCGGCAATGGAGGAGGTACTGAGCTGGGCGGTGGTCTACTCAATGATTCCTGAGGACCGTCCATACGTGGTAAAGGCGGCGGTGGTCGATTTGGTACAGGGTAACTAGGCGATCCATCAAGTATTTCCTCGTATATAGCTGAATCCGGCGAAAGTCTCTCGTCTTGTCGATCATCCTCCATCGTATCCGCAACCGGTGACGTCATTGGGCGCGCGAATTGGTTGGGAATCACGCTGAAGACACCCGCTCGTGGTATTTGCTTTCGCTCGTGAGCGGGACTTTTCGGTGGCTGGGAGGGTCGACCCGGTGGTGCTGGTCTCGGTGGTGGAATTATGCCATTTGGGCTACCTCTGCTGGGAGATGGCCGCTCGGCAATCTCCAATTGTTCCAATCGTTGCATGGGACTTCTTAATGGCGAGTCCGCCGTGAACTGAGCGACTGTAGTGTTACTGCAGATTTCGATTTCTTTTTCGATCTGCTGTATCCAATCAGGTGATTTTAGCGACAATTTTAATGTTTGACCGCACACCTGCGTCATGCCCTTCTTCGCCGCAGCCAGGGCGCACTGGCCATCCCTGAATGTCACCCAGATAGTCTCGCCGACGTAACGTACTAGAATTGCCTCGCCGATGTGAGATAGGTCTTGTATCAGCGCGAACATAAGATTATTATCGAACACACTATCCATATCCTCGATATCTTCCACCGCTTTGACTATTATCGTACCATCGGGAGGACCCAGATCTTGTATCACTTCTTTGAACACGCACTCACGCTTCTCGGGATCGACACAGTGCACGTCTATATCAATCGTGGCAATTACTGGTCGATGATCACTTTGCTTCAATTCCGCTTTGCCGTAATAAACCAACTTTCCTGAATTCCAATCTGTAGGCGAGTCTGAAATGTACATTTAAATTGATACAGAAATACAATCATTTATATTCATATTTATATTCATATTTACATGTGTACTTTATATAGAATTATATAGGATTATAATTTATATGTATACTTTATATAGGATTAAAAATAATCATATGATAGAAAAAAACCAACCAATATCAGGTATTTGCTTCCTGCGTTTCCAAAGAACTCTGTCTGTCCATGCGGGTTGACGACACTTCTCGCTGGTGTCATAATCGTCCGAGAACAAATCATATTTGTACGTAGGAGCGAAAGTAATGGGTCCTTCCTGGAAGTTCTTAAAGACATTGCCCTGTTCTTGTTGAACCTTGAAATTAAAGATTCGTAAAAGATATATTGTTAGCAACTAAACTTTAAATATTATTTAACGATAAAATTTATTCATTTTTTCTATATGACTCATTAACAAATAAAAGAAATGTGAATTTCTAATCAATAATATGATATAATACCCTCAATTGATCGTATTGCAGTATCTGATCCAATTCACTTTGCTTGATCAATTCCTTCATTTCATCCTTATCCATGTCGACTCTATAGTTGAAGTCACCACACCAAAACACATAGTCATGAGTGTTCAGCGTTCTACCCATAGGAAATGTTATCTTCCTTGTGATCTCGGCATAGTCAGCGTTACGTTCATTCACCTGAGACTGGCCAGCGGCGAAATGCGCGCACACGAAACAAAAGGACGTGGAGTATAGGACGCATCTAATTGCTGCAGCGCCTTTGTTTCCGGTAGCGCCTCCCAATCCCGTTTTCACGCAATCCACTGCTACGTCGCGCAGATACGGTGCGTGTACAGGTCGTATGAATAAATAGAGGCAGACGCCTACCAGCTGCTGATATGTCACGAGAACGTATTCTGTGTCTTTGCATAGCACCTTCTGCAGTTCCTCAGCCCAAGCCTTGGCATTATCCGAACTGGCGGCCATAATATTACTGGCATTTAAGTCGACGATTTCCTCGAATCCTATTGCGAATATATCTACAGGAACATTGTCTTCCTGTTGTAAGGATACTAAGACTGAAAAGAGATACCAAGATTATGAATTATAAAAAAAGAAATATTTTTCACGATATATGTATATACAGGCTCATTACAAAATATTTTCGTCTATTTTGTACACTTTACGATTCAGTGTTTTTAGAAGGAAGATACTTACATGAAGATCTGTTTGGTCCATCGAATAACCAATCGGCCAGGGATACATCCTTATAAACTACACTTCTAAAATGCTTGCCTCCGTTAACGTTGTAAGTACCGATGCTTACTCTGAGATTCATTGTATCCACATACTCGTTATACCGTTTGCACATTTCTCGCAAAAGGTTCGGTGCGGCATGTAACATGTTAGATGGTAACAATAAACGTGCTCTGTCAGCTAATTCTGTATTTAATGTTGAACCTAATAATAGGATATCGATCGCTTCCTGCTTGTTGGAATCCAGTAAATTATTTTGTATCGTCCTAGCTGCCGATCTCGCACCGTCCATTAGCTTAGAACTGCCCTGGATGGCACCAGTACCTGCGTATATCTTGCTGACCTCGTTACCATTGTTGATCCACATCTGACGAAACACTTCCTCAAATCTCGAAACCATCTGCTGCTTCTCCATCAGTTTCAACAAACCCATCTGTTTAGCAAGCATCTCGAGCGCAAAGAATGTTTGCACGCAGTTTGTTCTGTCCAAACAGTCCAAACAATTTGTTCTGATGGTGCCAGTCTGTTCAAGAATTACAGTATTACCGACAGCATAAAACAGCGAAAACGACTCCAGATACTTTTCGACCTTTGCCTTTAGCTTCGACAGATTTTTCATATTTCCACCGCGACACTCCTGATGATAATCAAACAGGATGTGCGGCACGTCTTTGTGCTCCGACATATTGTGATGGGTTTGAAACAATTGACTCAACATTGCTTCCCCTTCTTTGCTGCCGATCAAACTGGAGCCAAGAAGATTAACGATGACTTGCTGACCGTAACGCTTTTTGATCATATCTAAATGCCTGTCAAAGGCAGGCGCGGAAGTCTCGAAACCGCGTGATATTTTCACTTTGTGGGAACCGACTTGTACACCAGGTTGCTCCCAGAACAGTGGTACCGAACCCCTTGTCTGAACATAAGATGTCACTTCGTTGTCTATATAGATCACCTGTTCTGTTTCCACGAAATTCGCTACGTGTCCGTCATCATTAGTTCCTCTAACATTAAATCTAGACAAAAGATCATGTTTTTATATAGAAGTTTAATAATATTTTTAACAGAAATCTTCAACAGAAGTTTTAACAGAAGTCTAATAATGATATATCGTAGTTTAATCAGACCATGTACTCCAATAAATTTATATTGCAACGCATATACGCGATATGGATTAGTCATATATATGAATTGCGAGATATACTTCTTATCAAGCACTGTGATAATTTTTGATATTGCGAGGAAAAATGTCTATTGATGTTTGTTAATTTTTTTTCTGAACTTCTTGCACTGTTTATCTTTTCTTTTTTTTTCATTAAATAGAAAAAAAAGCTATTCTTTTCCATCAAAGAGAGAAAAATGATCTTACCTAGTACCAGCACGTTCGCAACTTAATCTAGACATGAGCACCGCTCGAGCTTGTCTGTGTCCAACATAGACGGTTCTAATCTCTACACTGCCACACATTGCTTTCAATAACCATTGACTCGTATCTACGCCGTATCTCAATAGATGAATATGCAACATTCGATTCCTGATTGACGAGATTATATATTATTATTTTTTGGTCCGATGGATCTCTTTCACGAGTAGTGATACATAATTTTTGTTTGAATCTTGAACTTTCTATTATAAAAAGTTCACATTATAAAGGTCTTACAAAACTATATACTAACCAGAAGAACCTATTATCCGTAGTCGTAGATTTGCATCTTCTCTGAGCGCTCAACGTAATATCGAGCGACTTCTGTCCAGCAGACCAAGAGAAATAAAATGTTCCAGAATTCAGGACCTTCCTGACTTCAGACACGCGATCCTCCATTCCTTGACTGTAGAACAGAGGTACAAAACTCGACTGCGTTATTCGGAAAACTTCTGATTCACCGATCTTTCCAACGGAAAAACATCCGGTAACCAGAACGAGGTATAACAGAGTGTTCTCGCCTGCATTCAGCTGTAGAACACCCAGACATCCGTACGCGTCCAATAATTTAGTATATTTCGGTTTTAGAAACTCGTGCTCCTCGGCAGCTGTAAATGACGCATATTCGTGAGAATCTTCAGTTGGTAAATTGTACTCTCAAAAATATTTCATCGTATTGGTGAATATTAACATCAGATTTCAAATTCACCATCTCAAGGAAAACATTAAATCAAGAGAAAATCAAAATTACTTTATTTTGACATCATAAAAGTACAATATAATGACTTTTGCTTACAAAATTTGACTATTTATTAATATTAAGAATCAAAATAAAATCATTTTGATTTTTGCTAACTTTTGTGTATTTCTTAGGATAATGTATTGATATTAACACCATGGGTTTTATATCCATACTTTGTATTAATTTTTACATGATGAAAATTACATAGACACCACATAGTATTAAATCTACAATATTTTTTAGTGTAACAAATATATAAATACATGCTATTGTCGTATACAACTGTTATACTATGTTCTAAAAGACATGAAAATTAGAACAGGCTTTTCAATATATCCTATATAGACCTTCAAGGAACATCTTAAAGATATTCAAAGAACATCTTACTATTCTAAGGATATTCTCTAAGGAGTAAGAATTAAGGATGTCCCTTGGATAAAATGTATTCTATGAACTTATACACAAATATAAAGAAAATGTACAGCAATGAGTTATGATTTATGATTTAAAATCACAATCATGATACAAGATTAAAAAGATACAGAGCGGAACGGCGGAGCTCCGGTTCATATTTTAGTGACAGCGTGCAGCTGTTACACCGTTAATGCGGTTGCCCTTAAACGATATCTTACTTGCACGACTATCTTCTCGCAAGTGAAACGTATGTCTGCTTGATTTCAAATGTAGGAAGTGGAGGATGCGGGATAAGATGAACAGGTTGGTCATGCATGGCTTCGCCGGTGTTGCGTCCGCGAGTAGATAATCTCTTCGCTTGGCTTGGCTAGTTACTTACAAAGGACTGCGATTGCCTGCGATTCGAAGAGCAGCGTCTCCTTGCGGCCCCGCTGTTCGAGTATGACCGAGTGCGGTTTGGGAGAATCTAGCTTTTCGTAGACGCGGAGACTCTTGCCCATCGCCATTGTTGCGCGGTCGTGTTTCTCTGATTGCGATAGTGATACGGCGACGATGATGATGTTCTATGCCGCGACAGATTACGTCTGTCACAACACGTCGCACCGCAACAATTGGACACCGAAACGACGTTCTCACCGTGACTGGCGCGGCGATTGAAAACCACCGCTGTCAACCAGTTAACTGTCGCCGTCATCGACGATGCGCCAAAGAAGATCCGCTTTATATGGCAGAGCGTAGCGGAAAATTCGACGCCCTCTCAAGAGATTCTATAGGATCACATCGTGATTAATCCCTGATGAAAATTTTTCTTATAATTTTTATACGAATTGGAACATTTTTCATAAATACTCAGAAGTATTTGGAAAGTTTATATCTTCCCTCAGAATTTTTCATACAAGTGAATTTTGAAATATTCTGAAATTTGTGATAATTAAAAAAAAATATTTTTTAATTTTTTAAATTTTATTTCATCAGAAATTATATTTACAAAAAATCTTGGAAATCTTAAGATATTTCATAATTAACATATATGAAAAAATCTGAGAAAAGATGTAGATTTTCTGACAAATGTTCCAATTTGTATAAAAAATGTGAGAAAGTTATAAAATTATATAGAAATTCTGAAAAATTATATGAAAAATTCTGAGAAAAATTTTCACCAGGGATATCCAAAAGAAATTAACAATGTTGTTTTGGAGCTGAATCTATCAAAATAATAAGGAGCATGTGGATGTTTTTTGCGCAGTTAAATAATTAAATTTTATTTGATTAAATATAAATAAATCTATCAATAATATATTTGATAGATCTAATTCTGAATCTATTAATTTAACTGCTAATTATTAAACAGAATGTGAAGAGATTTATGCGATATGTAATATTTCTGATGGAAATTTTTCTCATAATTTTTACGAATTAAAACACTTTTTAAAAATATCAACTGATGAGAAAATCTACCGATATAAATTATTATAGGTCAGTATTTCATAACTCGTATTTATTTTTATTCTTTGTTTTTTAGAAATACTGAATATGTTCTGAAAGTCATCAGAAAGAAATGTATTTTCTGTCAACACAAATGTATAGTAAAGAGCAAAAAATGCTCCGAATTGTGGAGTACAATTGTACTTACACCGAGTTCTTCTTTCTATAAGTCTCGTGTTCAGCGACTGCTCGATAAAACGAGATAGAGAGTTTCGGTGCAAGTGTAGTTCAACTTCACATATACTCTGGCTAGACATTTTTTTTATTACAGTACAGTAATAGATAAGTAGAGAACAGTTTGTGTACGTTCTTGATTTAATGAATTTTCCTTTTTTTCTGTTGCGTTTTCGAAAGTAATTAAGTTAGGAGTTTCGGATTACAACATGTTTATAATGACAAAAAGAGGATTTCGAAAATTTATGGTAAACATGCTTGACATACAATCGTACACACACACACACACATATATATATATATATATACATATATATATATATTTTTTTTTTTTTTTCACTATTTAATTTCTAAGACAAGACGTTTTCCGTTTATTTCCTCTTTTTGTTATGTACATTACAGATAAATCGTGGAAGACTGGCATTAATACAGCGATTAGCTAGGTAGTAATGTTTTGTTTTCATATATTTTAGTAGTAGAGAGTGACATTATATATGATATTATATTTTCTTATTTTTAGGCTCTGAAATTTACATTGTTATCATTACTGTAAAATTATCTGCTTTATAATTAAAATGCGTTCCTTGATATTCAAAATACTTGCGAATATCATTTGTCTTTGTTTAATATTCAATAAACAACGAAATGATTCCAAGAGTATTGCAAGCGCCAAGTATAATGCAGTTCGCGTGTCATAATTTGAAAATAACAATTCGAATAAAATAAAGACAGTTTAAAGTTTAAGTGTACAGATATTTAATTAAAGAAACGAATATCAATTACATATCTTTGTTTCACAGGAGTACTGCCGTTTTATACGACACTACTGAATATCAATTTATGCAGATGAGCAAAATTCCAACATTACATTTTCAAGCATCCTTACCTCGTTTACCGATACCAAAACTTGAAGACTCATGCAGGAGATATCTGAATGCGCAGAAACCTCTGTTGAATGAGAAAGAATTTCAGAATACGTCGTCCTACGTTTCAAAATTCCTTACCAGTGAGGGACAGAGTTTACAAAAGTTGTTACTCCAACAGAATGCAGAGAATACACATACCAGTTACATTAGCGAACCATGGTTCGACATGTATTTACAAGATCGCAAACCTTTGCCGATCAATTATAATCCTTTCTTAGTTTACGTACCAGAATCTGATCCGAAATATAATGCGCAATTAGTAAAAGCGACAAACATTGTCATATCATCATTGAGATTCTTAAAGTCATTCAAAAATAACATTCTAGAGCCAGAGGTGTTTCATATGAAACCTGAGAAGTCAGACACTCCATTATTCCGCAACGTTATAAGATTGATCCCATCTCGCTTTAGCTGGTATGGCGCTTATCTGTTTAAGGTATGAATAGATTAGAAATAACGGAATGATTATGCCAAATACTCTTAAGATAAATTGATAGAAAAATAGAAATTCGTAAAAAAATTAACAAAATTTTTTATCGTAGGCTTTTCCACTAGATATGTCCCAATACAAGAATCTGTTCAATACAACTAGAATACCGGAGTTAGGAAAAGATAGAATCTTTCATGATCCCTCAGCCAAGCATTTGGTTGTACTGAGGAAGGGTCATTTTTACGCATTTGATGTTTTGGATGCAAACGACTCCATTCGTGGTCCTAAAGAGATAGCTGCGTGCCTAAAAATCATTTTGGAAGATGATAGACCAGCAAATAAATATCCCGTAGGCGTTCTTACAACGTCAGAAAGGGATCAATGGGCACGGGCACGCTCACATTTAGTCGAAATAGGGAATCGAGAAATTCTTCAGAAAATCGATTCGGCTGTATTCATAATGGTCTTAGATGACGAAATTATTGGTACCGACTATAACAAGCTTATTAAAACATATTTACACACAGACGGTACAAACAGATGGTTTGACAAGTCGTTTTCCTTTATTGTTTCTAAGGATGGTTACAGTGGAATCAACTTTGAGCATTCATGGGGCGATGGTGTCGCGATACTTAGATACTTCCAAGTGAGCAATACTTTGTTTTAACTTCAAGCATATTAAGCATTGTTAATTTAATTACCTTAAATATTTGAGAACTAGAAATGTAAAGATCTTTATCATCTTGTAGGATGTGAAAGCCGATATATCGAAAAAACCTAGATTTCACCCTAATGAAGTAGATGATCTTTCTAAAGAAAACATAAACGTAGAGAGACTACAATTCTCTCTAGATGCGAAAAGCAAAGGTATTATCGATCAGCAAAAAGCAGATTATCAAGCATGGGTGAATCGACTGTGCATTGATTTTATGCTTAATGAAGAGATTGGTAAGGATCAATATAAGAAGTTTGGAGTAAGTCCAGATGCCATGATGCAGTTGGCATTCCAGTTGGCATTGTATATCCTAGAAGGTAAATCGGTACCAACTTATGAATCTTGCAGCACAGCTGCATATAAACACGGCAGAACAGAAACCATCAGACCTTGTACACTAGAGACTAAAGCGATCTGTGTCGCTATGACTCGGAAACAAATCGAGTTTTCTAAATCAGAGCTAAAAAAGATGATACTTGAATGTAGTAAAACTCACAACATGCTTACGAAAGAAGCTGTAATGGGTAATTAGTTTGATCATTATTAACAGATTTATGAAAAGAATGTATATAGATTTGATAACATACTTTACAGGCCAGGGATTTGATAGGCATCTATTCGCTTTGAGAAGAATTTCAGAGAAATTGGATTCCATTAAGCCAGCCATTTTTCAAGATTCCGCTTACGATGCTTTAAATCATAATATATTGTCTACATCTACTTTATCAAGCCCAGAAATAATGGTTGGTGGATTTGGAGCAGTGGTATCTGACGGCTATGGAATTGGGTAAGATATTCGTGTTACGTTGCTATTAACACTGAAAATGATATAATTGTTAATACTTTGTTGTGTATCTTTGGATGATTTTTTTAAACAGAAATAATACGTATTTATTTAGATATACGATCCAAGATAAACATTTAGGTTCAACCGTGACGAGTTATGAAGGCAGTCATAACGCCAGTCATTATGTGCAAGTGCTAAAACATGCAATCGAGAGCATCCATGATGTGTTACGTACATAAGACAAGCATTATTGTATAATTTGCTATATACATACATTATAGTTACATCTTTATTTGGATGTATCTTCATTGAGTTATTATATAATATTGTATATTATTGTATAAGAGAATGTTTATAATGATGTTGTATCTCAGAAGTAGGCACAAGTCGTCTTTAGAATCTTAAAGAGAAAGCAATAATAATGACAAATATTAACAATTGATATTATAGCTCGAAAACTATTATACAATTCTTAAATAAATATTTTTAATACTTTTGAAGGGATTGATAACTCATGTTAATTTTTATAATCAACTATTTTCCCACTAATTAGCTAACGAGTAGATACATACAATTAGAATATAGAGGATAAATTATTATAGTATTTTGTATTACATACTTTACTTACATTGACAAGAAAATATGTACATTAACTTATGCAAAAATGAGCGCTATAACGCACTCAAAATGTTTAACAAAATTTACGTTGCTTTCTAACATCGATAAAAATTATAGCCTATTATAACATTTTATCTTAGCTTTTATGTTTCAAAAGAAGTAGAATGATGCGTCCAACAATATAACAGACAATATTCACAATTATAGACACAGAAAGGATGTTAAATTATGTCACTTAGAATCGTATGAATATAATTACAGACATGCAATATACCAAATTCGCATTGGTATCTGGAAAATTCTTCTGATCTCACAATGATTTTATAGATATGCAGTCATTTCTCTAGACTCTCTTTTACTGATGACTAAATGTGGAATGGAACAT